AGAATATAATGCAGAGCAGGTCTGAGGATAGGAAAGGCCATATTATGGAGAATCCAAAGGCAGAAACTAGAAAATACCTTTCTAGGGCAATATGCAGCACTAACAAAGGTAAAAAGAAGAGGACAATTTTTCTGCAACTTATTTGACAGGGTAAATAGCACAAAATGCTAAATTCTTAGAAATTAATGCGAACAATTAATATACAGGTAGAATAATGGGCAAAGAAAATGTAAATTGATGAGATCAAGGTGTCTGCTGGGATTAAAAAAAAAATGTAAATTGCAAAAATAGATTGTTGCTTTAACAAAAAGCAGAGCTGGTATTGGTAAAGATGTAAAACCATGCTGTAATGCCCAGAATTGGAGAAGTGGATATAAGGCTCTAATTTATAGTGCTGGTATGAGAGTGTAAATCACCATCCTTTCTGTAGAGCAGTATGGTGCTTTTTAAAATGCTGATGCCTTTTTTTTTTTCCTTTTTGTCTTTTTTACTGACCGGCAACGGGATCGCACCCCTCGTTGTGGCGCCCGCACCTCACTCAGCCAGTGAGCGGGAACCGGTCTCCACATGGGATCCGAACCCTCGGCGGGAGCGCCACCGCGCTCCCAAGCGGCGCACTCTTTAGTGCGCCACCGGGCCGGCCCAAATGCTGATGCCTTTTTAACCAGGAATTTCACTTCCATGAATTTTTCCTAAAGGAAATATGCCGAAATACAAAGTTTATGGCAGTGTTGTTTTCTCATTTGTTAAAATTGGCTACAGTCTAAATGNTTTTTTTTACTATTCTTGCAAGCACAGTTTCATAGATGCTGGCAGAAGACCCAAGTCTTCCGAGTCTGAGACAAACGATGTTAGTACTGAAGGCATAGTAGGCAGCATGAGCTTCATGTTTGCCTAGGTTCCCTGGTCCCCAGATCTCTTGGGGATGATGTAGAGCAGGCCCAGGTGGATGTTGAGAACACAATTGGTTTATATCACAGCTGAGGAACTTTGAGCTTAGGAAGGTCCAGTCTTACAAGGGGGCTCCTGGGAAATCTGCCAGGATTTCTCAACAGATAGAAGACTTGACAGAATGTAGAGCTCTACCATATTTCTGGATGGAAGGTTGCATTATTTTAAGATGTCAGTTAATTATGAGGAAGGCAGCTCTGAGTAAATATAACATTTTATTTGAGAAATTAGACAAAAAATGTTAATCAGGACAAATAATTGAAGAATAGCAAGAAGAATTTGAAATTTAAAAGGAAGACTAATCCTATCACTAATAAAGAATTTTAATGATTTTAAGATTATAGTAACTAAATTTACATGACTTTAGCTCCAAAATAAAAAGAAACCATATGTATTAGAATATAATGCAG